TAGTTTCTACTACTACTACTACTACTACTACAAGTCCTCCTGCTGCTGCTGCTGCTGCTGCTACCACTACTCACTACTACCACTACCACTACCACACTACGACTACGACTACTACTACTACTGCTGCTGCTGCTGCTGCTACTGCTTCTGCTACTACGACGACGACGACCACAACGACTACTGCTGCCGCTTTTGCCAACGTGTTGCTTTTGATAGATTTGTTGACGGTCCTTGTCGTTCATCTGTTCATATCAGCCAGTCTGAGTCCTGGCCTGAAAGAAGCATAAGCTACAGTACTCTGAGTAGGTCCGAGGCATTCCGAGGCCGGCACCGAAATAAGCTGACCCGGATTACCGATTTTGCAGTGGTTAAGACGAAAGCAAGCCGACAAATTATTGCTGGTGAAGCTGTCCCACTGCACAGCTTTTTGTATAATGGCTGGCCCAGCAGCTCCTGCTTCTGCCTCTTGTTCTGGAGCTCATAGAGTTCACGCGTGACGGTCCTGTAACCTGTTTGAAGGTCCTGCTGCATGTTCAGGATGGCTTCAACCCGATGAAGAATCGCCCCCGACCTGAGCTGTTCTTGCGTGCGATATAAAGACATAAAAGAGCAAAGGGACAGGACCGTGGCGCACGGCACGACCGAGGCTCCAACATTCGGTTCGAGACAGATGGTTCAAAGTCGGACGGCTCAGGCTCTGCCGAAATGTCGGCAAATTTCTGAGAACAGCCTACAGATATATCTCCAGGCGTAGCGGCAAGCAGCTTCTCCGCAATAGCACCTTGTTGCTTTAACTCTTGTTGCACCTGCCTACACCATGATCGTGTTCGTTCCAATTCTTCCAGAACCATGTGACATGCATCGGACCTCTTTCGGGTGTCCGTCTCCTGGCACATGTGCTGCATCTGCCGTGCAATTGAAGCCAACACTGGGCAGATCTGCGCTAAGGCAGTGTTCTGATTCCCATCAAAACATTGTGGAGATTCGTGGTTGCGACTGACGCTTTCGGCATCATGAAGAGCATGGTGCAGCTTGTTCTTCATTACGTCGAACTGTTCCTTCACAGCACAAAGTTCGCCACGTGCCGATCCCAACTCAGACTTCAGCGAGTCAATGTGCTGCTGTAGGCCAGAACCGTCCCTCATTCCCCTCGGAATGGAATCTGCCGAGTGACTCTGACAACTAGCTGCCGAGCTAAGGTTCTCATGCTCCGCTTCCAAACTCCAGATATGTTCTCGCAAGGACTGATTCATGGACGCCAGGTCACGCACAGAGTGTTCCAGACCGAGTTCTCGCACTGCTGCCATCGCATGCCAGTCTGCCGCCTCTGTTGCGTGTGTCAGCCAACTGATGCATCTCTGTAGCAGGTCTTGGTTCCAAACGCTTACTTGCCGGAGCATTTCCGCTGCGGCTTCTTTGGCTGCAGCTTCCGGTTTGGTTCGCATCTGGGCCTCCAAAGACCGAAGATCCATCTCCGTCTTGCAACACACAGACACGGCGTGGTGCCACTGGCTGGATATGTTTGACAAGTGCGCTTCTAGAGACCTTATGCACTTGTCTGCGATGCCTTCTGGTGAGAGTTCACCCATGAAAGGTGACGAAGGAGCTGGGGCGAGGGGTTGGAAGGCATCTGACACCGCCATCTCTTCAAGGTGTGTGACATGATTGGTGAGGTTCTCCACCAAGGACTTCCAAGTCATCTCTGTCAACTCACTGGTCCGAGCCCAGCGCTGTGCTCCCGCCAGGTTCTGCAGGACCAACGCCAGAAGCGGTCCCTCAGCCTGTGCAGATACTTCGGTTTGCTGGAGATGAACAAGAGATCCAGTTGCTTGATCTCTTTCTTCGAGGCAGTGGTTGGCATCTCTTCGAATCTGCTCCTCGTATTCCATACGTGCCTTTGCATGGGCCACGTCGCAGCCTTCCATTAGATGGAGCTCGCTGCGCAAAGAAATCGCCTCTTCTTGTAGCAGCGCTTGCTCTGAGGCTGCCTCTCGCAGCCTCAACATGTCTGCGGCCTGCACAGCCTGCTCGCGTAGAGCTTTCGCATCATCTGCGACAGTCGAATTCACATCACCTCCGTGATCTGAGTTGCTTCCAGATTTAAAAGCCCGACTCGGGTGGTGAATTTGTAACTCCGCCAGCTGCAGCTTGTGGTTAACATCCCCAAGCGATGCCATTGCTAAGAGGACTTGCCCGCCAATGTCTGCGACTCCTTGAAGCAAGGCAGTCTCTTGGGAGTCTGTTCTGTGATCTCCCTTCTGTGCTCGTTCACGCAACTGTTTGCAAAGGACGTGTAAAGACTTTCGAAGCTCTGAAGTCTCCTGCACAACTTCGTCGGGACCTCGACTGCCGGCGCGCATGGAAACTTGACTTGCTTGAGGCGCCTGGCTTGGATATTTTTGCTGCGACAGGGAAGCCGCGAATTGTTGAAGGGCGCCTTTGAGCTGGGCTGCTGCTCTGTGGCTGTCTGATTCTGCTCGATCTCGCAATGTAGACACATGCTGTGTGAGCTGCATGGCCTGTGAAAGGTCTTGTTCCAAGAGATGGCAGCGCTTGCGAAGCAGCTGAGTCTCTTCGAACGCGCCTTGCGCTAGCTTCGGCACTGCCCCCGGTGTTGGTCGCGCGGTCGGTCGAGGCTTGACAGTCACTGGTGGGTTCTGAAAACTTGGTGGAGAGCGGAGCTGTAATGGCCAAAGGCGGTCTGCTGTGGCACGTGCGTCTGCGCAAAGCCCTCAGCTGCTTATGACATCTGCTACCGTATTCGGCCTGAAAGTTGTGTGAATGCAGAAAGAACCCTAACACCCACATACGAGTAATTACTCGAGTATCTGGTGGTTGATGGCCTCTGTCTGTAGATAAAACTCTTACAAGTAGGGCTGCTGCAATCCCAGCATCGAGAAGACAAAGAAACCATCTCTGCCTCGTGCTGTTCCAGTATCTCCTCGATTGTCTTCGGTGTTTAGGAGAAGACTCACGGCACTAGTTACAGCACTATGCAGGCAATGACAGCTCCTCCAAGTGCTCTTCCACCACTGCAATTCTTCGGCTGCACAGTTGGTTGTCAGCTTCTGTGCTTGCGCTAGGCGTGCCGCTCTCAGTGATGCCGGAACCAGCGCCTGAGATATAGGAATCGCAAACTGATGGACACTTGCGGACCATCTGCTGCCGGATGGCCGATTTGCTGAAGAAGATGCAGTTCGTTTTGTCGAGCTTCTTGTGCTCTCTCTTCTGCTTTGAGAAGGGCTTTCTGAGACTCAATCAGCGCCACCTCCAGCCGGACAACCTTAGCTCGACACACGGGAAGGCGCATCGGCTCGCCGAATCTGGCAAAGGATGAGGCCCAATGCTGAAACCCGGGTACGAGTACATGTCTTGGACCGGACACTTACCATCCTCATGCGCCGCGGTTTTTGGCTTCTTGCCGTGATCCATTTTGCCTCCACCGAACTTGGGGCATAGTGGGATTTAGTTAACAAGCCATGAACAGACTCGTCTTCAACAGAGCAGCTTCGGCGGCAAGAGGTCGTGCCAGTGGTTTGGCAGGGGACGACAACCGCGATATCTCAGCAGATAGCTTTTCAAGATTGTGTTCAGCTTCTTTACTCTCTTCTCCCAATTCCAAAACTTCAATGGCTGCATATTGGGCACGACGTTCTGCTTGCTGTGCCATCTCCGCCAGCATTTGGCAATCGCTCTCGGCATGCGCATCAGCCGCAAGTCGCGTGTCATCGTGGGTCAGCGCAGTGGTTGCCTCAGTCGCTGATGCCGCCGCCGCGCGGGCTTCCGCCAGTTCTGCACCTTCTTCATAATGGCTGATTTCCGCTTCCGCTGCATGCACCTCTTGCTCCAAGCGTTCAATTACGCCATCCTTGACCTCTAGAATGGCCAAGGCCTTGGCATGCTGCATGCTATCACAGCTGGCCCCAAATTTTGTTTTTTGTACGGCGGGCGCTCGCCATGGCGGCACTGATGCTGCTACTTCTACGCACAACTTGTACATCACGGATCCCTCCATGCTCATACATTGTTCAATGCTAACTACTTTCAGCGCATACAGGTTATCACCGAATCCGCGAACATGTGGCGCCCTTTGCTTTATTGCTGGATGGCGTAAGCTGGCTGAAACATATTTTCCCAAGCAAACCGTTGCACAGCCAGACTTGCCCAAGCAATTGAGCTGCCCGGCTCGTCTAGCTTCTGCACGCTTTGCATCTTGCCTGGCAAAGAGAAGCCGCAGCAAATCTCACATGCTGGGGTTCATCTGGCTCACAACCATGTATTGATCCTCATCGTCACTCGCAGCTACACTTGATGTGCGTGGATCGTTTACATTTTTGGCCAACCATCGCGGCAACCAGAAGCACAACACCACAAATTGCTGGAAATTTAACCGCAAGCTCCCTGAAACACGACCCCCGGCATGCATGTAGCACTTTCTGAAGAGATGGACGGCTCAGCGTAGCAGAACTTGTCGGAACTCGAGCGAGCACTGATATCATGATGGCATGTTCGCGTGCACGGACTTGGCAAAACCGGTCTGTGTACAGAACAGAAAATTGAAGTCGAGCCAAGGAACCTAGTGCAGACCACCTGATCCTGTGTATGACAGTGTATGAAGTGTTGAAGCATCCATCGTTGAGCCCTCGAAGGACGAGATGCTTGTAATTCGGGGCGCCATTGTTCTCGGAGCTCCAGCCTCGAGAATGCAACCAAACCGCGCCTGGACTGTCGGACTTGTTGTTGGATCACATCTGCTTCATCTGCCTCCAACAACCAAAACCAGTGACGCGAATCCCCCTTCCAGCACACGATGCCATGTGAGTGCATGTGAAAACCTGGTCTGGCGATGGTTCATGGCTCGAAACCATCAATGCTCCCAAGTGTCAGGAAAATCTGATTCAACATTTGCATCTAGCGTCCTAGCTTCTCTATGACCAGGTCAACTTAACATACCACATTAGCGGTCACGGTATCTATGAATACCTATGCACCGCACCTATTGACGAAGTGGCATGCTGAGGTTGGGATGGCCGCAGGAAACCATGTGGCATCATGCGTTCTCAAGCAACAGGCCAAAGCCAAGTCTTTACAAGTATCAATTGCACCACACATATCCGCACGCGGTCCACGGGAGGAGGCGGGGGCAGTGTGCGCGAGCAGGCGCGCAAGGAGTCTGACGAAGGTCGCAGCTTCAATGCTCCAGCGGCCACCGGGCTCAAACACGACAAGCTTTCACCTGCTGGACTGCCGCAGTTCAGGATATGCGCGCAGTGAACGAATGCAAGTGCGGCCCCGGCAGTGCGTACACCATCGTACACCGGCCCACAGTGCTAGTCCGTTGGCTGTGACCGAGCGTCGCATCCTGCCGGTTGCATAATTCTGAAGAACCAAACGCGTTCCCAGACATTTTGAAAGGTTTCATTTTGACCGTTGTTTTTATGCACCTTGTTTTCGCCGCCTGAAATGAAACCACGTTCTCACGCAACCCCATTGGTTTCTTTTGCTCCTTGCGGTGGCGTGGGGCATGTTCCGCGACTGCGAGGAAGCCAAACCAACGCAAACCATGCCGCGTCGGGGCCGCCGATCTCAACGCACCACGGCAGTGACAGCGTGGCGAATGCAGGACGATACTGTGAGTAACATACCCACCGGAGAGAAAAAAACACATCCCCACCCGGGGGGCTAAAATACATGCCATGAAAAATCAGACCTGGCAACAGGATTCCAGGATTGGGCAACCTCGCGGCCTCACCTGGCGCATCTGGCGCCTCGCGGCGTCACGACGTCGCAACCTCACGACTTCATAAATATCCCTTATCTATGTCACCCTCAGAATTTCCTCCCTCTTGGGGGTAAGGAGTGAAAAGGGGGACAAATAGGAATCACGGACATGAAATAAGAAAACAACGACCAATAGGAAATCGGAACCTCCGGTGCCTTTCCATACAGGATTGCCAGAAAGCCCCTAAACCTTCAAGCCCGCACCCAGAAATCCTTACGAAGCCCGCAACCCAGAAATGCTCCTAAACCTCTACACCCCTAAGATCCCCTAAGCCTGGAAGCTTCGAAACCTTGAACCCAGAAGCCCTTTTGCATCCAGGACTCTCGCAACCAGCCGGGAAACTCCACAAGCCAGAAGCCCTAAACTCCGTAAACCCGGAGCCCCTCTAAACCTCAACCCTAAGCCCAAAAACCTGCAACCCAGAAACCCTTAACCTAACCTCGCAAGACTCGGTAGATCCAAACCAACATCCCGCAACCCAAGAAACCATAAAACAAGAAACCCTAAACCTAATCTCCTCAACTCCGTAATCTCGGAACTCGCGCACCCCCAAGCCCAGAAGCCCGCAACTGAAAAACCCGAAATTTAGCCTTGAACCCCAACCCCTCAACCCAATAAACCCCGAACCCCGTAAACCCAGAACCACCGCATGCCTAAGCCCAGAAAGCCGCAACCCAGAACCCCAAAACCTAAACCCTGTAAGACCCGAAATCCTACACCCCTAAGCCCATCCCTTGCTTTGGCTTCGGGTTGCCGGTGGCTTCCAACTGTTGTGTTTATGTCTGGGATTTTGCTGTTTGTTCTCTCACCCCTCACTTCTCGGTAATGTAAAAGAAACTACGACTTAGAGATTTCTGAGGGTGCCCCCCACCCCTCCATCCATTTTCAAATTAATGGATGTGGGGGTGCCTCACGACCTCTCGCCGCAGCCTCGCAACCTCGCACCTAACAGCCTCACCGCCGCGCGGCCTCCGCCTCGCCACCTCGCGAACCTCGCTTGTTCACATGCTTCGGTTCTATTAAAAGCTAAGCGGCTTGCCGGACCCCGGCTTCCAGCTGCGGTAGACTGCATTTGAAACATAGCTCCCGGAATTAACGGATTTATGAGTGTTGTACAAGGTATTTTTACACGAAGCAGCGAGACCGGGGCATGTAACCGTAAGGGGGGCTTGCGTGGAGCATTATGGAGTGTGCTGTGTTGATTGTGGGCGTTGACGTCGTCCGAAAACGCCGCTCGTGGCTCGGTCGTCTTGCGTGAGGCCAACCTGCTTGCAACCTGGGAGTTTTCCTGGAGCGCTGACGCCCGGCAAGAATTCATCGATCAGGCATAGGCTGTCAGACCGAAGCGAGCGCTTGTCGAAAGCGTCGCGCTCCGACACGCCGGAAAATGGCCGGCGTGCATCACAGTAGCCGCTTTCAGTCAGCTCGGGGGATGCCACGCCACTTGCCCCTCTCCGTGGCAACGACGAGCACAGCTGCATTTGGGCCCCCCCCTTTCCGGCTGCTCAAGGTGCCCAGCTCCCTGTCCCGTTCCCTGTCTGCAGCCAGCATTTGATGCATTTGGAATTCCTGGCGCACTTTCGCGTGCAAACCAACGGAACCCTGCCGGCCATCCACGCACGCATGCCCTCGGCTGCGGGACGCTTGCTCACCGCTCTACGCGCGGATGGCACCGCACGCCTTCACTCCTCGCAGCCACCAAAGCGGCGGCCTTTCCAACCACACAGGGCTACACAGTTCCGGACTGGAGCCCCGCCCCCCATTCCCAACAAGACGAACCTGCCGACTTCCTCCGCGGTTGGCAACGCAGAGCCTCCGATGCTTGCGACGAGCACGTGCTCGAGCCGCACCTTGCTGACTTGTCTCCTGCGTCCCGCGCCCTGCTGCTCGCAAGCTGGACCGCACTCTGCCCGAGCATCTATAGGGTCCTGCCCACGTCGGAGGATGTTGTCGTCCCCGCCTCGCACTTCCGTGTCTTGGTCCTGTGGTGCGTGCATGTGCGTGCGCCTATACGTCTTCCTCTCGGCTCGCGCAGCTGCCCCTGCCGCTGCGCACTTGATGCGTAGGGAGACCACCGAGCTTGCTCCACATCCGGCGTGCTCGCCCTACCCCTCCAACACGCCATCGCTCGTGTCCTGGCCTCAACGTTGCGCTCTCCGCCATGAACATTGACGCGCCGGTCCATGATGCACGGCACATTGGTGTCGTTTTCAACGGCCTGCCGGTTAGGCACGGGGCACAGCTCGCCGTCGATGCCACCCTTGTTAGCTCTGTGACATGTCCTCTTTGGGCTCGAAGTCGGCCTTCGCTGGGCTGAGGAAGTCGCCACCTTCATCCGCCCCCTTGCCCGTGCACATGCAGCGAGAAAGTCAGCTGTCCGCAGCTCGGCCCAGGCAGCGCGGGTGCTGCGCTGGAGTGGCCTCATCTCTCCGTCTCTTTGTGTCTGTGTGTGTGTGTGTCTGTGTTTTGCATGGCCGGTGTGTCAGCGGGGCCTTGATTGCGACTTTGTTAAAGCCCAGGCCGCTAACCGGCTCTTGCTCGCTTTCTGCGCGGCGCCTCGTGCACAGCATCTGCTCCGCAATGTGCCCCCAGCCGACATCCTGCCGTACGCTCGCGGTCACGACGATGCGGTCTGGGCGGTAGTTGAAGGCTTGCTTGGCGACCAAGGACCCGGCGAGGGAGAAGACTGGGCTGCTGCTCGCCAGGTCGCTTTTTTGCCGCCGAGCCTGGGAGGCCTCGGTCTCTTTGCAGCGGAGCGGGTTTCACCGGCAGCATACTGGGCGGCGTGGGCAGCTGCGCTCCCGGTGTTGCGCAAACGATACCCCGAAGCAGCTGCTCGGCTAGTGCAAGAGCTCGAGGGCGAACCGGCAGCTCCCTGCCTACGTGCAGCAGCGGAGGCGGCGCGCCAAGTTACTGCAGAGGGCTGGACGAGCAGACCGGAGTGGGCGTCTTGCGCCCGTGGCGCCGACGCGCCAGCCGCTGAGGGTGAACTCGGCTTGGGAAACCCAGGTTGGCAGCGACACGCCGTTCTCGCACTCCACACTTCCTTTCGAGAACGCGTGTTGCTTCCTGCCTTGGCTCCGGCCGCTCGGGCCCTCCTTCACTCTCAGTCCGGTCCGCACGCTGGTATGTGGCTTGCGGCAATTCCTTCGGACACAGCCTCCACCCTTGCGCCCGACCTCATGCACGTCGCAATGAGGCGCCGCCTTCGGCTGCCCTTGCCCCTCACGGCCCTGCACTGTGGCGCGGAACGCCGACACGGCTGTGGGGCCGAGGTCGATGCATACGGGGACCACCACCTCGCCTGCCCACGCACCGGCCTGCTGCCCAGGCGTGGTTTCGTCGTTGAGAGGGCGTGGGTCCAGGTCGCTCGCGAAGCTGTCGGTCCGGAAGGACGGGTCGTGCCGCAGCAGTGGCTGTCGCGCACAACGGCGCCGCAGGTTCACCCCGGCGACCGTCGCCGCCTCGACTTCGTTGTCTACGGAGCAACGAGCAACGGCGAAGCTTTGTGCTGCGACGCAACCCTCGTCTCCCCCCTTACTCGCGCTGGCCGCCCCGTTCCCGGTGCCGATGCGCGGGAGGGGGTCGCGCTTGTCGCGGCGCGCCGACGCAAGTCGCGCGCTACCCGGAGTTGACCCGCGGAGGGCCTCAACGACTCGTAGTCCTCGCTGCAGAAGTCGGGGGCCGCTGGAGCGACGAGTGCCAGCAGTTCCTCCGTACCTTACTCCGGCTTCGTGTCCAACGCGCCCCACCACCCTTGCGCGCCGCTGCAGCCCAGGGCTGGGCGCGCCGCTGGTGGAGTGTGCTGTCGGTTGCCCTGCAGCGAGCCGTCGCCAGCTCCGCGCTTGGAGTCTGGACCATGCCGCCGCTGCCTGGTGCGCCAGACGCGCTCCCGTTGGGTGACGTGTTGGACCTCGCGATTGCGAGCGCCCCGAGCCGGCTGCCGCTTCGCTAGCACCCCGTAGGCGCCCGTAGTTCGCAGCTTGCACTGGGACCGCGGAAGATGCTCGAAAAGAGTCGTAGGGGAAAAAAAACAATAACTCCGTTAGCCGCGCCGCCACCTACCTCTTGGTATTCGCTGTTAAGATTAGTGGCCGCTGGGGTTCCGAGCCCGCCACCTTCCTGCAGCTCCTGGCACGAGCGCGAGTTGCACATGTGCACGCTGCTGTTCACTCGGCTTTGCGTGTTAGGTTTCTTGGGTCTTCCCATTAAAAATCCACTATCGTGTAACTTGGTGTTTTCAGGAATCTTGGTGTTTTGGGTTTGTTGGCACAGCTGGACTTGTCGGGTTGGGCGAGTGGCGCTGACTTGTCTGTACAGCTGTACAGTTGGCCGTCAAGTTGGGTTGTGTTTGGGTTGGGGTTGGGTTGGTCTGTACAGCTGGCAAACAGGTTTCGATACCTGTGAAGCCTGTGACTGTGGAGAGGAACAAAAAGAAAAAACATTCCCTAAGGCCCTACCTGTCCTTAAGCCTTGAACACCTTAAGTCTGTTGCCTGTCATCGTCCTAGTCTGCTGCTCCTGCTCATGCTGTTGCCCTCTGCTGCTGCTGCTGCTGCTGCTACTGCTGCTGCCGTTTATTGGCCATTATCTTATAGTATTATACTGTCGCTGTGCTACCGCTACTTTAACTTTACTGCTGCTGTTCCTGACTGCTTTTAACTAGAAGCGCAGATGAGTCTGATTCCGCAGACTTTCAGTATCGGGTGTAAAGCCCGCAGGGTCCCAATAAATCTGCAGATTGGAGTCTTCAGCCGTTCGGGATCAATAGCAGCTACAGGAGGTGGCATGTTCAGTCAGAAGTGTGCTCGCAGTGACTGCAAGCGACTGGCATTTGATGGGCACCGCTTCTGCTGCAAAGAATGCAAGCATGGGTACGACCATGGCGGCGGCTGCTCCAACCGACAGAGGTTTGGAGGAGGGCCGCGAGATCCGTCCGATTCGGCCTCTGCTGGCAGTCGTGACAACTTCAAGGCGAATGTACCTTCCTTTGTGTTGCAGGCTTGGCGAAATCGATGGTTGAGTGTAGGGCCGAAAGCCCGTGCGCTCATAGAACTCGTTTCGCTGAATGTAGCTGAGCAGCACGGTACCGATCCTCGAAAGTTTATTCGCCGCCTGGTGCTGAGCTTTCACCCGGATACAGCTGGGGAGTCAGTGTCAAATATGGAATGCACACAATTCCTGAATGCTGCTCTGGAAGA